TTTACAAATGATTGTTTTGCTGTTTGAAAATGTAGAATGCTGAATAAAAGCAACAATAAACAAGTGTGTCCAGCATCTTTCTAAACCTTAAGAAAGTCAATTTCAAAAGAACAATAAAAAACTTGATGCTTTTGAAACATTTTTTAAAAGTGTCCTTTAAAAAAAAATTTTTTTTTAAATGTATGACAAATTAAAAGCTGCTTCTGCTAGACCTTCCATATGATTGTAGAAATATTCAAATTGGAAAAAAAACAAATAAAACTAATAAAGCCTTGGTGGAAAATATTGCAGACTTTGATTCTGAAGGCCCTGATCCAACCCTCCTCTGTCCCTTTCTCCACTATCCTTGCAAGCTCCATTCTCTGAATCATCCACTGTTCAGATTCAGCCCGGTCATTTGAGGTGGAGGTGTGGAACCCTGGCTTCGTCTGCAGAAGTAGAGGTCTGTTCTATAGCCTGGTTAGCTGAGGTGGCAGTGGTCTGGTTACGTATAGTCCAATTATCTGAGTCTGAAGACCAGTGTCCTGTGGCCATGTTAGTAAAGGTGGAGACCTGTTTGCTGTGCTAGCTGAGATGGAGGCAGAGTTATTTGAGACTGCACTCCAATCTGATGTGGATGTAGCCGTGTTGGTAATCAATCCAGATAAACTATGTTTTTACATTACATTTACAATTTTTACAATACATTTTTTTCATCAATATCATCAGCACGAGTATTATGATCAAAATGTTTTATTTAATTTCTCTAGTAGCCAAATTAGTAGAAGTAGATACTGCATAAAAAGCAGGGTTATCAGTAGTGACTCACATGTAAAAACGCAGCAGAACTTCCGAATTGTGGCTGAACACAGGAGGGTTGTCTTACCACAGTAAAATACCAGGAATCGAGTCAGTTTTTTTTTTTCAACCCAATGACCCTTATCTCTTCAGATTTAGCTGCTGTAAGCTATACACATTAAAATCAAGCAAGATAGGATGGGGTATGTGTATATTTTAACATATCTTATGCAAATCACAACACAAGTTGTAAAAACATTTAATTTTTATTTTCTTAAAGTTACAGTGTGTAATTTTCAGCAGCATCTAATAGCCAGAATGCAGCAACACGATCTGCTCCTACTGCTTCTCTCCTTTCATCAATACAGAGGCCCCCATGCTGCAAAATGGCTTCTGCAACATTCACATCATCTATCTTGTCAAGTGATGGAAAGGTTTGTTTTCATGGATAATTTTATAAATAGTATTTTATGAATCTCTATATAATATATAGATTCTATATATGCCTAAGATAGGAAATATACCCATTATTTTTTTCCACATCATCGTCATGATTTAGTGAGCTCCTTACCATAGTGATATAAATAGACTAATTATACTAATAGTCATTTAGATTGATTGTTGGATAGTGTTGGTCGGAAGTGCTGCTCACGCGTTTTGAGTGCGCAAAAAAATCAATGCAGTGCATTAAATAAAATCCAGCTTAAAATGTAAATCAATTAGAACAACATATTTTTTTTTTGTATCATGAATTGTCTTCCACCACGAATTTCAATACATAATATGGTTTGCTTGCCATAAATACATAAAATCTAATGATTATAGAAAAGAACAGGGAATACATTCTTTGGATGAAATGGATTCCAAATAACAAATATCTGTAATGTAACTAACTGCACATGAGGAATATTTTGATATGGAGCCTACAGTAGGCGGAAGTTCAACTGAAGAAACTGCTTGGTCTTCTTCATCCATCTGCGAGTTCATTCAGATGACCCTGTTTCAACCCACCTCCAGCCCCTGCTCCACCTTCGTAGCTAAAGCTTCATCAGAGTGTCATTCCTCCTGGACTCTTACTGCCTTTCCTGGACTTTCCTGCCGAGGTCTGAGTGAGTATTGATTCAAAGTAATTGACTTTGAATCAATACATTTCTTCTAATTGTCTTTTCTCTTCATGTGAGTTTTTTGGATTGAAATACAGTTGGCATACTTTTCACAGCCAAAACACATTTTACTTGCAAATCAGTTGTGGTTGGAGGAACCTTTTCCTTGAACTGATCTTTTTCTTTTGGGAACTAACATTTACAGTATCAGTAAAGGAAACAAAACAGCTAAGTTCCCGTTGGCATTCACATGCAATTTATTCTCCTACATGAATGGTGCACCTCACTCGTGTTTGTGGAAGGCCTAATGATCTGTTCTAGATAAGCTGTCCTTTTAAATCTAGAATAAACATTGATTTAGATTTATTTTTTAATGTGTTTTTTTTTTAGCTTGGTCTTTCATTCTTCTAATTTAATTCAACGGCTATCTGACCAATCTAAATATTCAGGACATCAAAGCAATCAGCACTCACAGTAGGAGAATAAAGATGCTATTGGGCATTAAAAAAATACAACACAACAACACACACTGTTTGACCAAATAGTAAAATTCTGCTGCAATAACCTCTATTCAACCACTTGATTAGCACTGAGACAGGTGTAGTAGCAAACAACAAACAGTGATTGGTGGTCTAGTGGTTAGGTCATGGGGCTTGGAATTCTGAGGTTGTGAGTTTGAAACTCACTCCCACAGGCTGGCTCTCTTAGCATGACCCTTAACCCTACACTGCACCCCAGGCACCGCGAATGGCAGCCAACTACTCCCTAAGGTACTGGGTTAAATGCAGAGAGGGAATTTTTGCACTGCACTACAGTGCACTACAGTGCAACAATAAAATGCTGGAGGAAAAAAAAACAAAAAACACATTAAACAAATATAGTAGTTTTGAGACAATAACTGTAAAACAGAAAAAACTCAAGTGAAAATATAGAAATACATGGCAACAGCAACAGATCACCCTATGAATGTGCAAAGTTTGTGCAGTCTAAATATGAATAAAGTGAATTTCGCCATGAGTTACAATGTAAAGAAGCCTCAACTTCATTTAATTATGGATTGCATGATCTTAAATTAGTGAGAGGGTGGCATTACATAGGGATTTTATGAAGATGGTGCAAATAGTCAAGCTAATAAATTGTGCATCACAAATAGGTGCTCATTTTAAGTAGAAGCACAATGAAGAAATCAGAAATGAAAGCAAATTTAGTCATACACTAATCTGTGATTGATAGTTATTTGAAATCCTTATTAATAGTACTAAATGTCCTCTAAAAAGACTACAGACCATTTTCTTTAACCTTGTTTTCATCAAGTTGGTTTATTTGTCTCTTGGTGCTACCCAAAAATGTTCTAATCAACCTTGCAATTTAACTACATCAGTCCCTGGGAATAGATAAAAATTTAAACACCATCTGGAAAAGCTTGGCACTTAACATGACCTCAGCTTTTCCCTTTCTTTCTTCTGTGATTTTGTTAACTGTCATTTTGCAGCATGCTAATTTCCACAAGATTTTCTTGATTGTAAAATTACTGCTGTTGTTTTAATCATCTTGAGTTCTATTATCTAAAAAGTATATATGCAGCCCCTGGATTATCCTAAAGATAGGGACAATATGTACTATTTTATTTGTAACTATCAGACATTGTGAAAAGAAAACAAACATAAAACAAATGTTACATTTTGCAGTTGAACTTTGTAAATTATATTTTTGCAGTTTATCTGTCTGATTGTTTAACTTACAGTCCTGACTGATCTACCAGCCAACTACAGAGATGTGCAATGTGTAACATTCCATTTTTTGACATGCACAATATAACATTATTCTGTTTTTTTTCTTTAAAGTAACATCTGTGCCTGTTTCTAAGTCTTCTAAAATATGCATAAAGAAGAAGCACCAACACATGTGCACAAATCTCAACAGTACAATTTCTTGTACTCAGTCCAAGTCCAGATAGCCTTAGGATGGGCACCAGTTGGCTGCTTCATTTAGCTGGTTCCACACAGTTTGTCAGTTATGGGCTTAAGTGCACAGGGAAAATGGCCTTTTAAATTATACCTACCCCCCTGCCATGTTTGTCTTTGTTCACATATTTTGTTTGGACTCCATGCAGATAGGACTTCATGTCGCAACATTTGCTTGCACATTGGTCTAGAAATACCTTCTGGAATGTGTGTGGACTCATGCAGACTTAATTTCCCCATTCTCCATATCTTATTGTTTTGTAAACCTATTTGTTCTTTCACATAAAATACAAATACTGATGCTTAATTTTAAGTGTCTTTACTGATATCATTAACGTGTTAGCATCTACACTGTGTTCAGATAACTGCATTACAGGTTATCTGAAAATTATGCAACAGTTTTCTTTCTTGGCATTGATTACCTAAACAAAATTCCATTGCCTGGTGTTCAAAATATGTTGGGGTTGTGAGAAATCAACCAACTTGTTCCTTTTGTTGTCATAAACAAACCAAAGGGAAAAATTCTTGAATTAACTTCTGCTTTTGGTAAGGCATATAGTACAGTGACCAGACGTCCCTGATTTCCGGGGACAGTCCCTGTTTTGGGCCACCTGTCCTTTTAATACAGACAAGGACGTTCGTTATCAGAACCAGTCGGAACTACCCTGTGTTATGGTGAGTGTGTTTAATCGGTTCATTTGATTTAAATCAGGCTGATCATTGTGATAAATGTTTGGTTTGTGTCCAGGTTATTTAAAAAAAGCGCTTTGATGTTTTTTGTTTTACTAAAATGAGGAGCAGTCATGTGACATAAACCAAGCTAACCAACAAAAAGTAAGACAGAATGTTGGCTGCAGCTGGCATGAGTAAATTCCGTGTAAGGCACTAATCTGGTTCTGTGGTTCTCCAGAGATCAGCAAGGGCTCATCTGAAGATGTTTTTAGAACTAATTGGTGACCTTTAGTTTATATCATCAGATAGTTATTTATTTTCAGTAGCGTTATAGGTTGTTCTGCCGTTGTATGGTTGTGATACATGAGCATGGACTTCCAGACTTAGGTCTACTTTTACATCACCTCACCCACTTATCTGATTCCAAGCTAGAGGCCTGTAATCAGACACTACCTACAGACACTTAGAACAAAACATTTCCTTTTGTTATATATTATTAATAAAACACACACCACACAGCGATCCCACTATTATGGCCCTGCCCTGACCTGTTATTGCTTACCCTAGGTCACACCATGTTAAGCAAACACTACAACCAATCACCATACAATTTACCCCAAAGCCCTAAAAGAATTACATATTATCCAACCATTCCACATCAAAGGATTAGATATAGACTCCAATTTAAACCCCTAAAACCCACCCTCCATTGGATCCAAGACAGCACCATGAGCACAATGGAGGTCATCAGAAGACATGGACAAGAATACACTAAGTAGTCATGAACAAGAAAACTATTTTATTATTTACTTTTTGGTGTTTTTTGAAGCATATGGCGATCTGACCTTAAATTTTTTTTTTGCAAATGACTAAAGTGATACACGCCTGTCGAGGTAGTTTATAGTATATTTTTTGTACAAAACTAAAGTGATAACACAGATCTGGTGTCTTG